TGTTTAAATCGTGTCCTCAAATAAAACGATTTAATTGGCTAAATTGTTTTTAACCCTCTGTGTATAATACTGGTATTATACGCCAATTGAATACGGTATAAAAAATCTAGACCGTCCGCAATGTTAATCACATGATAAAATTTCGATTTTGGCAAAAAATCTTGGTTTCTTTTGAAAAATTACTTTCGAAAAATTTCGATTTTGGCGAAAAATTTTGGTTTCTTTTGATCCGCACACATGCGCTCACTTTTGCGCACGTGAAAAATAACCACTGGCTCCGGATCAATTATATTGAAAACAGGTAAAGTTCTTTTATATACTATCATTACTACCATTAGAGTATTTGGAAACATTAATTAAAGCTTTTCACATATTTAAAATAATCATTTTTTTAATCACATCAACAATTAAAAAAAAATCAATAAACAAATTATTTCAACTCTTATATATATAATTTCAAGATAAATTTCTAGCTAGAAGAGCATATAGTTGTTACTTTGCCAGTGCGCATTAGTCATTCAACTTCCTTCTTTTTCCATTCATTATTTTTTCTCTTTTAACCCTTGAATCAATATTATTATCTTCCAAATTATCATTCAAGGTTATTTGTTCACATAAAAGTTCATTAATGATGGTAAATACTTGACAAACTTCATTTTTGAGAGTTTCTTGGGAGGTACTTATTTTGTCAAATGATATGTGGTATATATTTTGGCTTGTTGAAATTATGTCATAATTTGCGGAGAAAGCAATGAAAAGCCAATGTGTAGCATCAGTGACTATTCCATAAACAGTATCATCTTTACGCTTGCGTTTGGCATTTTCCTATATAAAATTGTATAATTTAATATCTGGGGGTGAGTCAATAGAAATCAAGCAAACTTTTTATAATAAAAATTTTTTATAAATTTAAACAAGAATAACTCAACGAAACCTTGACTAAATTTAATAAAAATTTTTTTAAATAATTTTTACAAACTTGTAGAATTAATTTAAAAAAAATTTATTAAATTTGATCAAGTTTTTGTTAAGTTATTCTTGTTTAAAGTTTCTAAAAAACTTATTAAAAAAAATTTGCTTGGTTTCTATTGACTCAACCCCATCTACAGTCTATTAGCAATTCTTACACAGATAAAAAATAAACTGCAACATACCAAGGTAACAGCTTCCAATTGAACTAAATTTTGTGCTACCCCTCCAGACAAATCATATGCCTTTGCTTCAGTAACACATATAACATTTCCTTTGTAGAAAATCTGTAAATCCAAAGGACCTCGACCATGTGTTCCAGCTGAATATTGTTCAAAGCGAACATTAAGTTCATCTGCGCTTTTCCCAAGTATTCTTCGACAAAGGTAAACGTTATTGTGGATTATGCTAAATATAACTTGTGATCGAGTTGCTTCATTGCTGTCACTGAGCACACCCAAATTATCTTGTCGTTTCTGAATTTAAAGAACACAAGTAAGCAATTTGTTTCAAAATTAAAAAAAGAAAAGTGGTTAATACTACCCTGAGTTCAGTCATTAATTCTTCCAATACTTCTTTTTCATCTGCACTACAATCTTTAATTTCTGCAAGTAATAATAACAGAAATATGAGTAAATATCAGAGAATTATGTTAATGTCTAAATAAATGTAAATGAAAACCTTTTGGATTAACATTCATTTGAGGAATCTCACTGATCATCTCATAGTCAAGGTTGAAACGTTTTGCAACTGTACTAAAGTTTTTATAGTTGGAAAATTGTTCTTGTGCTGTAAAACAAATTAATGAAAGGTAAGCAATGTTATATAATAAATACACCACTGCTTTTAAACTTACATGTTTTGACCTTGAATGAAAATTTTATGGTATATGAAGTAGGAAGCGTCAATTTCCAGAGATTTTCAAGAGACATATTTAAGGATTCTTGATCAACAACATCTGCATCTTCACCAGTTGGAGTGATTGAGATGGTTTCACTCGGTACACCTTCCATAACTTTCTCCATTTCACTCTGAATCTTTTTCTGAAGTTTAGGCCAATCTGCTTTACCATTAGAGCATGAAAATTTGAAATTTCTAGTATATCTCGAAAAAGTTGCACTGCACT